GTCGTTATTTTCGCCTCAGAACACCGAAGCTTTCTACAAGTGAAATTGCTATGAAATTCACTAGATGAAACAACGAGTCTCGGCTTTTACTAGACTGAGATTAAGAAGAGCATTTCGCACTGCAGAGCTAACATAAGCTCTCAGGCCCAACGGTCATCCTTGTGGCTGTCCTGTGGCTTTCAGTCCACCCAACGTGGACACCTTGAAAAGAAGAAGAAGCACTGCAGAGCTCGTGACGAAGGCACGTCACGGGCAATTTGTACAAACATTCTCATCCATACACATTATATCCGGGTCGTCGACCCCCGAACAGAAATTGAAAATGTTTTATCATTTACGTAATATTTATGTCAAGCGTCTTTAAAATATGTAATTTATTCTCCATTCAAAATCAGTTATTTTCTGAGGCACGACGTGAGCGTAATTATGAACGAGATCGAAATCTAAGCGTCATTGACCATACATTGTTGGCAGTTGCTGAAGTGGTTATTATGAACACTGCTCAGTAATTAATATGGAAGCGTGGCTGTTACTAAGAACGCATAGTAGTTACTGAAGTAATTACTAAGAATGCTCAGTAGTTACTGAAGTAAAAACTTAGCACGCTTAGCAGTTACTGAATTAGTTACACAGAAAGCTCAGCAGTTATTGTACTCGTCCAGCAACACCAAACTGGTGGCCAAACTTGTGATTGTGTAAGGATTAAGACGAGTCTCAGGAAATATGCCTATAGTTTGTGATAGTTGGTGACAACAATAACGCTCAGTAACGTGTTATTATTCAGCTACTTTTGTTTACTCGTGATTCATTTGAAGTTAAAGTACACGTTAAGCTGCCATATGTTTTTAGATTAATTTATTAACGAAGGCATTTTCGACTAATGATGAGTAATTTCAATCGTATTGAAATTTTTAGAACACAACCAAAATAAAGCTCTCAACTCAGGTAGTATAATCATTATTCTTTTATTTTAAAAAATGTATTAGTCAACGGCTTATTTAACAGTGAAATTATCTGGCATGATGAAAAAATAATTTCCCATCCATGCATGGAAATACTTCAATTAAAATTCATGGTACGCATTGGAGACTAATTCGTAATGATGCAATTACGCACGCAAGCACTGGAGTCCTGGGAACAGCAGCGTAATGAGGATGCGAGGTATTAGCTCTGATTGACTGAGATTTTGTTGGATTGTTCAGTCGAACAATATTACGTGTGAGCTGCGGGAGCGGATAGAACGTTAGGTAATCTTGGTTAATGAAATAATGAAAATGGAATGAGTGTATAGAATCCTTCCGGCGGAAATAGTTTTGATTGATTCCCGTTTTGTATCCTCGCAAGACACAACTTTCTTAAGGGCACCTCTAAGGGTCAGCGTCGACTGTCGCAGGCTAAATTAATAAAAAAAAATATAACTCGGTACTCACTGCAGTGAGTGACAGAGAGCGCATTTTCTCGTCAACGAAAACTTGAGGTCACGGACAGACGGACGGACAGACGGACAGACAGACAGACAGTACAGACGGACGAACGGACATGGCGAGCACAATAGTGCATTTTTTCCTAAATGAGAAAATGCGCTAAAAAGTAATTCAATAAATTTATTGGCTAAACAGATAAAATATCACGCAATAATAAAATTTCTCAAGTGAAGGTATTGAAACTGATAAAGCTACTCTTGAATCACAGCCACTTGCTCAAAATGCACAACATGTAAGTGATTCACGTTATTCCAGTATTTAAATCTCATGTTGACTTCTAGAACACTCGATCTGTGGTACAAATACATTTTCTGCAGTAACACCAAATCGCGCCTTGATATTGTTGAGAACTGAATTACACAATCCTACTTGTACGAAAAACAGACGTCAAGCGGATACGAACTTAAACTATTAGTGGAGTTTGCATAGGCTAATTGACTATCGCTTCGACTAACTTAGATAACCATTGAAATGTAGGTAATAATTATTCGAAAGTAGAGGCTTGATAAGTAGATGCAGAATCCAAGCTGGTAAGAACATACATTAATCTGTGAGCTAAACAAGCCCGTGTTTAAGCCAGTCGCCTTATATATATGTATATATGTTGGCTGCAGCATTTGTTAACGGAAGAGACTTTCTGGCAACAGATTGCATGTAGCCAGTAGTTCTCTTCGGCAACCTCCATGTACACTTGAACAGTCGATCTTGGTCTTGATCTTCTCTTCGGCAAAAGCCATGTACAGTCAGTCGCCATGTAAACTTCGACACCCTTCATGTATTGTACACTGAACAGTCTGTCGTTTACTTTAGCACCCTTCATGTAGAGTCGGTCGTTCTCTGCGACATGCTCAGCGACGTAGCGACAGTAGATTGTTCTCTTTGTCTTCCCCAAGGTACACTCTACAGCCTTTCGTCACTTATATTGGTCTTCAACTACAGTCAGTCGTTTTCTTTGGCCCCTTCCAGTCCCGTTTGTTTCGCCAGCAGCACTCTGCACTCTCGGTGTCGGTGATTCTCAACAACCCATTTTAATCGAATTTGGGAAAATTGAACCCCCTTTCACAGAATTCATTGGACATCCCAAAAGTTACAATAACAAATGGAAATGTTTTACTGCATATATGATTTACGTAACAATTTAAATCGTTATTAATTAAAAAATATAACTCAGTACTCACTGCAGTGAGTGACAGAGAGCGCATTTTCTCACCGATGAAAATGTGAAGTTACGGACGGACAGACAGATAGACGGACAGACGGACAGACGGGTGGACGGACATGACGAGCACGATAGCGCCTTTTTTCCATAAATGAGAAAATGCGCTAAACACTGTTGTATACCTGCGTCCTGAGCTGCACGTCCGTTAAGCTGATGGCCGCAACGCGCAGTTCCTCCAATACCTCCTCCATCTGTCGTAATTTAATATGAAGTTATATATAAAAAAATTAAAGATGCTAGACCTAGAAATATACTATGTTTTAATTAAACATTTTAGATACGATTACGTAAATAAATGTATTAATGTGATGTAACTACTTTGAAAAATGAATCTTTGATTTGAACATGGAACTACTGCTTCAAATTTCTATGACATCTAAAATCTTTGTGTTAAAATATTTCATTTCAATTGTTATTATATCGAATTTCGCTTAAATACCTTACAAAAAATTTTTATTTACTAACGGTAAACCTTGCTATAACGCTAAAAGGAATTATTCATTGAATTGTTTCATTCATTTTATCTTGAACTCCATTTTTGCTTCAAACAGAGCCATGGAACATATGTTTCTTGATACTTAAAAGGTCGAGTAAACTTTTATGAGGTTATTAGTTTATTGCGATTGTTTTCACGAAACTCTGTAGGTACGGGAATATTTCAACTTGAATGAAAAAAAAACATATTAATCCAGGCAAAGACAATGGATAATAAAATTCGAAATCAAAATAAATGTACACATAACATGTTCAAATAATGAAGGATATATTTGCGCTATAAATGAGTTGAACTCGTCGTCTAAATAATGACACATTTTTTACACACAGCACGAACCAAGACTGGGTCAGGATGGCCGGTACGAAGGCAAGTAGTGCATCGTGAATTGGACAAAATCTCCTTCTCTTTTCTCAGTGATAACTTCTTGCACCTCTAACCAATCTCTTGATAGATTACCAACAAAGCCAATCACTTGATCATTTCAGCCAATCACTAGATTATTTCAGCCAGTCACTTGAAAGATTAGCAACAAAGCCAATCACTTGGTCACTTCAGCCAGTCACTTGAAAGATTAGTAACAAAAATTATCCGCTTATTGAGTCAATTGGCCTCACCAGTGCTGTAGTAATTTTCATTGACAGTCGCATCATAAGATAATATGTATCCATATGTTATATACACTTTTATCTATAAAGTAACCTTAGGACAAAATACATCCCCTTATGTCATATGTACTTTTAAATATATAAGTATCTTAAGACAAAACGTAACCCTTTGTTATATATACCTTTATTCTTTGGCATACCTCAAGGCAAAATACGTATCCCCTTTGCTACGCTTACTTGTGTGTATAGACTGGTGTAGTTCGGCAAAATCCAATCTTTTAGGCATTTTTTAGCATTAAACTTATTTTTTTATGCAGTAATTTTGAATTTAGTTTTCAAACTTTACCCGCAGTACCCTATATTTGTACTACTACCATTTCCAAAATTTAAATTTCAAGCGATGCAAAACCCTTCACCTGCTTGATAAGAATATTGTATATTTGGAACGTCGCTAAACAAAACTAATGGTCGCCATTGCTGTATAATTTTATAAATTGACGTATACGTATCCCCTATGATATATACTTTTATATATCAATGCACATTGATAGAATAAGTATCCATTGTACTATACGGTATAGTTTTATAAATCGACGTTTACGCTTCCCCTCTGCGATATATACTTTTATGTATCAATGTACCTCAATACAATACTTATCCCCTCTGCTATATATTTTGTATAAATCGACATAAATTTATACAATACGCACCTCCTCTGCGATATAATTTTCAAAATCGACTTATACGTATCCCCTCCAATATATATACTCTTATTTATCGACGTACAATAATATTATACGTACCCTCTCCGCTACATATTCTTTTATTTATCGACGTACAATAATATTATACGTACCCCCTCTGCTATATAAACTTTTATTTATCAACGTACAATAATATCATACGTACCCCTCTGCTATATATACTTCTATATATCGACGTACATTAACACAATACGCACCCCCTCTGCTATATATACTTTTATATATCGACGTACATTAACACAATACGCATCGCCGGTGCTGTAGATACTTTATATCTCGACGTACATTAACACAATACGCATCGCCGGTGCTGTAGATAAATAGCAGCGACAAGCAAAAGACGGCCGCCCCAGCAGCAGGTTGCCACGTCTGCGCCGTGAGCGCCTGGGCTGTGAAGACGGACATGAGCAGCACGCTGCCCACCACCCGCACCGTCAGGAACGTCCCGACACTGACGAGGAAGTCGTGCTGTTTCTCTGCTACCTGAAGATAAGACGGACATGAGCAGCACGCTGCCCACCACCCGCACCGTCAGGAACGTCCCGACACTGACGAGGAAGTCGTGCTGTTTCTCTGCTACCTGAACACAGTTGACAAATATATTGTTTTATTTAATTATTCCGTGCTAGCAATTCATGTGGCTCAGATTCAGAAATAGGATATTAATTTACAGTCCATAATTGGGAATACCTTTCTTTCGTGCTTTCTAACAAGGCACTACCGAGGTTGCTTTCACCAATAAAATGTCTAATGTAGAATGTAAACATTATTGGCATAAGAAGGAAAATTCTGAATATGAACTATTTATGTACAAATACTTGCTCTAAAATTAGAAATTAATGGAGCCTTTGCGAGTGGAAGTCCAATCGTATACTCGTGTTATAAAGAGAATCTAAACATTAGAATGAATCGACAGAAACGATTCATCTGAGCACGAACGATAAATAATAAAACAGTCATAACAGACATTAAACATCATAAGTACGATTTAGTAGCTTTATTTAATCTCACCTTAATAATGTATCTTTCCAATTTCTGTGCTTCACTAATAAGTGATTTCTCGAGACGCGTGTATTTTCCAGCGCCGAGTTGTTCCCTCGTAATATTCGTACACAGAGCGTGGCAGCGACCACGCAGGACACGCACGACGTTCAGGCAGGTCACACGAAACACTACCAGCGCCGCGATACCGCCGGCCGACGATAAGCCTTCCAATACTTTTGTGAGGCAGTCAAGGAAAGGGTTCGAATATAGACTACCTCTAAGAGACCAGTAAAAGAAATGTCCTGATGAGTTTATCACTACATAAGCCATTGAAACGCCGTCTATAAATAGGAGAGTAGAGAATTTGGTTGTCTTGACATTGTCACTTCTCAGGCTGTTATTGTTTTCGAAAAATATAAGTATTTTAGCCAAGCCCTTGCTTCTCAAAGCTACCGATAAAAGACCAATTATATCAATTATTGCCACGAAAGTTGTACTTGCATGGAAAAGTGAACTTATAGGATTTTTTTTTGTCTTCAGATCTGAATATCTGAAGAATCATTGTCGAAGTGTGAAAAATTAAAGCGTAAAGCAACCAAAATGCGTTCGATCGCGCACTGAATTCAAAAATATCGAATCGAAGTAAGCCAAGTATCTTCAATAGATACTGTCTCGGTATTAGGGAATTCATCTTTAACAAAACGATAAACTTTGAGACAAAATTATGATACTAAATTTGGTCTTCTCACAGTAAAATACAGGCCAACACTGACACTTGAAACATGTGGATTTGGCTCCAGAGCGAACTCATCGATTCCAGAATTTGTATGATCTATATATAATAACAGAACAATTCACCATACAAACTGGATGACAAACATTATCTGCACTCAACTTGATTGCGAAAGCTCATGAATAGACTAAATATTTGCTTTTCCATTGTCTGATGTTGAAGGATTTGAGGCCGTCACAAAGAATCCAATTAGGATGAAAGCTGCACAAAGAAACAATGGTTTCAACAACATTGTTGCTATTTGAAATAATCATCAGAAATTACGCTACATAAGTCAAGAATGCTCGCCTGCAACTATGTACAGTAAAGAGGCTAAAGTTAACAACTAATGATTAGGCAAATAAAATTCTATTGAACAGAATACAAAGCCAAAGGAATAGCTTGGGACTTAGACTTGATTGCAATTACAAATAAAATTAGTGAGTCGTCTTTTGTTCTTAGATAGATTATAAAAACTTTTGAATTGAAACGACCACACCATTTATTATCACTAAGTGGGAGTATTCACAATTGGAGGGCTAATTGCACATCTGAGGTAACCCCGTAAAATCGGCGCCTGAGCGCCAATGCAGGAACAATTGAGGCAAGGAGTTACGGGCGCCGGTTTGTGGGCAATTGTGAGCTTCAGTGCGTGTAGAGTGCAGAATCAAAACTGAGTTATCTATGTGTCGGTTAGCTCGTAGCATCGTAGTCACTATCACGGTAACGGCGCTCAGTCCTGTAAGACGCAATCGGCAGCAGTTGATGGACGTACAAAGAAGGTAACAGGCTTCGCTCGGGCGTGTCGCAATCATCAGATTTGGAGCTAGTGACAACTAAAGTAATCGAAGCTCGTCCATTTTCTTCCCACGCAATTCAAGCACCCACTATTTCGAAAGCGAAATATTTTTATTAAGTAATTTTTGCTTTTGGCCGCTACTCTGATTCGATGTGTGAAAATGTAAATCACCTCCTAATTTATACCACTTACAAAAACGAAAATTGTGATTTCACAAAGTATTAGGCTAATCCCATACCATCACAACAATATTATTTGTTCAAAGTTTTCACTGTATTTACCGAATTCGATGCAGGTGATGTTTATTTAAAATACGGTAAATTATGTTCACCAAATACCATCGCCTGCATATTTAATTCGTATCTTCAACAGTTGTAATTGTGAATGCAATATCCAAAATGTAAGTACCGGTATATATAAGGTCCCTCCGAAGAAAGGCTTCCCTAGCGTGCGCGCGAACTTCCGTACGTGATTGCCTTGATTTTTGCAGGGTATGCGGTCATTTAGTTCAATTTTATCAATTTATGGGCTGCTGATGTTCACGTTTGCTTACGCGTGATGTATCGAGATCGTGTGTGTGTAGATTTGATGTTAAATTATGCTCATCTGAGAACGTGCCACCAACGATTGCGTATGACTCACAAGTTTAGAGCACGTGCATACATTTCCTATTTCTGTGGAGGGTGTGTCATGTCATCGGAATTTCATGTTACGTACAGTGACTACAGTCAGAGTGACGATCTGTCACAAATTTCCTCAGTTTATGGAGAAAGTTTCGCTATTTCGCTCTAATTCTATCTTAGATAGAATAAAAAAATGTTTAATTACTTCGTTACCTTCTATCATTCATTTGTTTCTGAATAACGTGCCCCTCAACTGAACTGAATTATTCACTCTTTACGTGGGCAGGCTTATGACGTCTGACCGGAATGTGGTTATATTCGTGACATCTCGACCGTCAGTTGATTTTCGCGCCCTTTCCAGAGCGCAGAAGCCTGCGCGTGCCGAATGCTGATTGGTTGAGTTGTGGATCACAAAAAAACGCAGGTTCATTCAGTCTATCCGAACTTGAAAAAGAGTTCAGATCGCGAACAATAAGAAACCACCAATGCATTTCGATTTAAATCATGTTAGATACATGGACATGAGTGTACGGCGCAGTGTGGTATGCATATTAAGAGAAATGTTTAAGAGAAATTACGAGTATCTCGAGTGTAAGTTAAAAATAATATATTANCTCATGTGGGACACTGTCAAATGCCTTGGCAAAATCGAGGTACACTGCGTCTACTGGCTCCCTTTCGTCCAGCAGGCGGGTCCATTCGTTCAGAGTCGACAAGAGGTTAGTGGTGCAGGATCTCCCGGCAATAAAGCCATGTTGACAGTCTGATAGGAGATTGTTAGCAGTCAAATGATTGTTAGCAGTCATTGTTCGAATAGAATTCTTATTGTGAAGTTATGAGCAAGTTTTTTTTTTTTTAATTGGTAAGATCGATGCACGTTCACGTGTGAGTTGCATTACGCTTCAAGGTCATGCAAAGGTAGCAGCGTCCACGAAAAATAAGCTTCGCTTGCCTTCATTCCATGTCCTGTTCGGCCGCTAAATCTATATAAGCAGTTGGCCGCTCATCGTACGTTTTAAATTAAGTTTCCACATTTAAATACCCTGAGGCTTCAGCTGGTTTATAGTTCTATAGTTCAGTAGTAACTGGGGTCAGATGTTACATCAAGAAGAATGAAAAATATTTAATTTATATAACTTGTAGAAGATAACAGAAAAATACAATAACGAATTCATTGAATCTTAAATGCACATGCATATTTACATGGGCCTCTCAACAGTGATAAGCTTAGTTTATGGCCTTCTGAAATAACCGCTCTATCTAATATTCGTAGTCTGAGAAATTTCCATTCATGACGAATTAAATCTCCAACATGTAATTACGTCTGCGATCGATGTCTAAGAATTTGATATTTTGCATCAGCAGGACTCAAAAGCGTCGTCTCGTAATAATTTCGCCTCCGTATATTTATTTCATTTGCCTTCCATGACTGTGAATTTGTGATTTACACAATTTTTTATTTAGACTACGAAACATGAATGATATTGATAAGCCTCATAATTAGAGACAGTGCAAATATATCTACACAATTGCTTTGATATCGCGATACAACAGTTAGATCAGCCATCGAAAAGAGTAGATCGGGTTGAGACTCGCTGCAGCAAGATGCCAACTTCAATATAAGTAAATGGCGCGAAGTCAGCGTGAGGAGATCGAACTTCTACAATCTCCAGCTAGGAAGTGATGTACTGAGTCGAGCTCCTGTAAAGACTGCGATAGCCGCTGGCAGTGATGCGGTGGAATTGTGCAGATAGATGACTTCCACATGCAGATAGATCACTCTAGGGTTTCGAATTAAGCAACCATTACTAATAGGGAACCAGGCACAAGGTCGGCATTATAAGTAGCCTCAAACACAAATCGAGGACGTGCCTTCTTTGTCGGAAATTAAAGATACCATGTTTATTACTTGCCCGCAAAAATTACTTGACCAAACACTGTCGCTCTACAAGCTTAGGGTCTTTTCTAACGGGAAGTGCAGAATAGATGCGCAGTGGCCCATATGCCACTAAGCTGGCATACGGGCAGACGCAGTGGACAATAATTCGGTTGAAAGAAGGAGGCACCAAGTTACCTACATTTCAAGAAATTTTAGATCAGAATCGAATAAAACCTAATTTAATCCACTATCGATATAACTCACTATTCTTTGTTTATTATAATTTTATTTTATTAACTGACTTATCGCTTGGAAATATTATTATATTACCTATTGATATAATTAGGTATTATTTGCTTATTCTAGCATGAGCGCCGACAATGATTTCAAGTAAATACAGCGGGAAATACTTCACTAACTACTTTATTCAGTAATGCTGCTAGATAACCGGAGTGGCAACAAATTCATACGCAATGCAAATCAAATTAATAATATTTACTCGACATATTGTTAGCTTGTTAGATTGATGAAAGTTTTTGCCCTGTACTCAGGACGCAGTTAACCCAGCACAAACACCGAAGTGACATTCTAATAATGAGCCCACAATCCTGCTGTATAGCGAATTTTAACAGGTTTATACGTCAGATTTAATCAAATATTGGGCTCCAGCACGTCAGTGGCGTAGCAAGCGTCGTGTTCTTCACTTGTTGAACTAATATGATACAGTTTACTTGAACGGTTATGGTAATAGATATTTAGATATTTCAAAGAATTATATGTTAGTCACCTCACTTCTGCTCGCACCATTGTCAAAAAATATTAGTTTCATCGGTGTTTTCCATAGAAATTCGGAACAAATTATTACAGAGACTAAGCAAAGAGCCATATTAAACATCTGTTAAATAACTCTAGCTAATAG